CCCCCCCCCCTTCATAATCCCAGAGAACTAAACCCCCCCCCCCCCCCTTATCCTCCATGGAGGACTAACCCCCCCACCCCGTGCCTAACGGCGCGGTCTCCGCGTTTCCGAGTTAGGATCACAGAAGCAGAAGACGACCAAGAACATCTGTGTCGGTATTGTTGTGTTCCGGTCTGTTTCCTCTATAGGGTTTCCACAAAAGGTTTGTTTTTTGGAAATGTGTGGGTAGTGGTACAACGCTGTGAATCACAGGTGTTCCGTTATCTGGCTGCGCAAGGACATGACCAGACGTAGGCTTTCTTGGACATGCGTTCTTTGAGCACTTCTTCCAGCGGTGGCCGTCTCAAGAACTTTTTTCATCCAGAATGTCTGGTGAAGCCGAGCTTCACAGACCTCCCAGTTGCTTTTAAGTTGACGCCCAGGTGGTTGAGGTTGTCTGTATGTTTGCAGTGCTTCTTGCATAGACAGGGTGTGACGATCGACGTTGCAGTTTGCAATAGCTCAAGTTGGTTCTCTGGACACTTCTGCCAGCTGTGGCCGTCTTAGGAATTTTTTGTATCAAGAACGTCTTGTGCAGCAAAGCTTCACAGACCTCCCGGTTACTTTAAGTTGAAACCTCGGTGGGTTCAAGTTGTCCGCTTGTTTGCAGCGCTTCTTGTACAGACGGCACAGGGCACGCGACCAGGTCAGGCTGCTTTCAAGCACTTGTTGGTTTCTCCGAATCCTCCAACGTGTCAAGTTTCGAAGGTCGACGGGCCCTGGGCCCAACTTCCAAACCCGTCCGTGTTTTTCAGCACCCGCACGTTTTTCATGCGCGGTGTATGCAACAAGGCACCCCTAAGCTGGTGCTTTAAGCTGCAGGCAAGTAGAAGGTTTGCGGCAACCGATGTCGAATCGCATCTAATTATAGTTTCGGGGCAGCGGAAAGCCTGCCTGATTTCCTTTACACTCTCTGTGGTCGGCGGCCGGCACAACACAAAACATACTTCTCTCCAAGGGGGGGGGGGGGGGTAGGATAGGCATAAACTTGTAAGCTGAACTCGAAACCCTAAACCCTAAATCCTAAACCCTAAAACCCTAAAACCCTGAAACCCTAAAACCCTGAAGCTTAGATCGGCCAAGGCCATTTTGTGCAGAGAGGAGCCAGAGACAGGAGATGGAGAGTGCGAGTGGCAAAAGCTGCCTGAGAGGGTTTAGGGTTTATAGGGTTTAGGGTTTATAGGGTTTAGGGTATAGGGTATAGGGTTTAGGGTTTAGGGTTTAGGGTTAGATGGCAAGGAGTCCAGTTGCAAAAGGGTTCGATGTCTTGGAAGTTGAGACTGGACTGGGCGTTGCCTAGAGTTGCTGAACGAAGCGCCACTCCACGCGCCACAGGTGTGGTTCAGTTGTTGAGTATACAACTCCCTTTTCCTCCGATCGCCATGGCCGCCCAGAGGACGCGGCTCGTGACCGACGACTGCGACTCCGAAATCCGGCGGCTCCAGTTCCACAAGAAGACGCAGCTCTGCAAGTTCTTTGCGGTCGGCGCATGCACCCGCGGCTCGAGCTGCGCCTTTGCGCATGGCAAGGCCCAGCTTCGTGATCAGCCGAACTTCTCGAAGACCCGCCTTTGTGCAGACTTCATGGAGCTGGGCGAATGCAAGCTCGGCCAAAACTGCAAGTTTGCCCACGGCAAGCACGAGTTGCGCCCTGGTTCCGCCGCCAAGGTCGGCCGGCCCTCGGCGCGGGGCGCTCAGGTGCCGAGTCCCGTGAAGCCCGCGGCCGAGGCAGAGGCGGCACAGGCTCAGGCGGTGATGCATGCATTGGAGAGCTTTCGGAAGCGCCAGCTACAGCATGAGCGTGCGGCAGTGAACCTCATGCTCCAGCGTGCGTTGCCCAGTGCGCCGCCCATGCCTGGGAAATGCCCGGTTAGGCAGGTCGGTACTGAGCAGTCCGAGCTTCTCGAGACATCCTTCAGCCGCCAGTCGACCTGGGAGGGCGTGGAGATCCTGTCCACGGGCTTCGGCAGAGCCTCCTCGGACGCCAGCTCCGTGGAGTCAAGGTCCTGCACGGCCATGGATGATCCACACGAGCCTTCCAGTGAGCTGCCCCATGTCGCGGGAAGCGCAGGCGATTCGGATGTGCAGGTGAAGAACACATTTATCCACATCCAGGTCGACGACGAGGAATTCGCTGCACCAGCGATGCGTCGGACCAAGTCCCTGCCATCCTTCACAGGGCTTTGAGGGGAGAACTCGTGAAGTTTCTGGCTAGATGAAATTGGAGATCTATGCAATTACTTAAGCACATGTGTGTGCATATATGTATGTATGTATGTATGTATGTATGTACGTACGTACGTATGTATGTAATTTGCGCACAGGATGGCCTTTCTGAGCCAGTGGGCCACCGAGCCACCTTTGCGTGGCAGGGTTTGATTTTAAGCTCAAGGCTGCGTGAGATCTACAGGGTCCTTTTTGGTACCAGGTCCAACAGCGCCATACAGCACCCAATGTTGTTGTTTTTTTCAATTCGCCGTGAGGCCTCGAATTGCCGGTTCCAGGGCTTTTGCCCTGCAGGATCTCTAAACCTTAAGCCCTTAAACCATATATATGGTTCAGCGTCGAGCGTCCTGGCCCCCCCCCCCCCCCCCATGGTATCCCCCCCCCCCCCCAAGCCTACTCTACGGTCCCTAAACCCTAAACCCTAAACCCTAAACCCTAAACCCTAAACCCCTAAACCCTAAACCCTAAACTAAACCCTAAACCCTAAACCCTAAACCCTAAAACCTAAACCCTAACCCTAAACCCTAAACCTTAAGTCTTAAACCTTAAACCCTAAACCCTAAAACCCTGAACCCTAAACCCTAACCCTAAAACCAACCCCCAACCACACCACAGGGGGGGGGGATCATCTTAGTACCCCATCCGCGGGGAAAACCCTAAACCCTAAACCCTAAACCCTAAACCCTAAACCCTAAAACCCTAAACCCTAAACCCTAAACCCTAAAACCCTAAAACCCTAAACCCTAAACCCTAAACCCTAAACCCTAAAACCCTAAAACCCTAAAACCCTAAACCCTAAACCCTAAACCCTACCCTAAACCAACCCCCAACCACACCACAGGGGGGGGGGGGGTACCGGGGGGGGGGGGGGGGGGGGGGGGGGGGGCCGGGGCTGAATCATATATTCCCTAGTTCTGAAACCCCAAACCTTAGAAGGCTAGCAGACATGGTTAAACAAAAACCCTAAACCCTAAACCCTAAACCCTGAACCCTGAACCCTGAACCCTGAACCCTAAACCCTAAACCCTAAACCCTAAACCCTACCTAAACCCTAAACAGAGGAAGGGGACAAGGCAAGACCGGGCCTCGCTCCAAAGCAAACTCTCCCATGCGAGGGCTTTTCAGTTCCTTCGCCCGCGGGGATTGCTGCGCCAGTTTGGGAGGGCCATGTTTTAATTGGGTTTAGGGTTTAGGGTTTAGGGTTTAGGGTTTAGGGTTTAGGGTTTAGGGTTTAGGGTTTAGGGTTTAGGGTTTAGGGCCCCAGAAAGAGGACGTAAAACATAACCCGCCCCTGAAGAATATGTTGCCGACTAGTGGCCTAGCAACCTTGCCGGCCTTGTGCGAGAGTAAGCGTCGAAAGAACGGGCGAACCTTTATCAAGCCAGCATTCTTCATAGCAGAGAGCTGCGTGACAGAGTGGTCAGCATTAAAGGTCCAAATCGGCAGATGTTCCATCAACAGTAGACGTTGATCTGCGCAGCTCTGTCTGGACTAATTATTAGATGCTAGCTGCTAGATGCTTCGGGAGACTACTTTGCAGCTTCACAGTATCCACAACCATTTCCTCAATGATGAGTTGCAAGTTAGGCTTTCTGTGGCGACGGCTCCCCGGCGATGTGGCTGTGCGTGCATTTTCAATCAAGCATGTCTCGTGAAGCTGCGCTTCACAGACCCCCCCCAGCTTCTCTAACTCGACACTTCGGTGGGTTCCTCCGGCTTGGCTACGCACCAAAAAGCTTGTGTACAGTGGGCATAGGGCCAGCTCCAACAGACAGAAACATGAGTTTCAGTATCTCTGATGCAGCCCATGGTTGAAAGGCCCTGTGTCCAAGCCTACCGAGTTCTTCAGCATGCGTGATTATCCTCGATGTGAGCAGCAAGGCACACTTAAGCTGTTGCCACAGGCTGCTGGTAGTTCGTGATGTATAACATGTTGCGACTGCCTCGAGCTTTCTTCCAGCATCAGACATTCTAGTTGTTGCTAACACCGGGCCATAGCTTGTCATTAAGCCATGCACCCGACCTGGACAGGAAAGATAGCCGGGTTGTGTTCTGATGCTGCCAGCCGGTCTTAAGTTTTCTGGCTGCAGCCTTCATTCATTGCGAACTCTTCTGTCAGCGTTCAACGCCCATGAGCACTCTGGACAACCTCATCACCCAAATAGCCCTAAATTAGGTACCCTAAACCTGAAACCTTAAACCCCAAGCCCTAAAACCCAAACCCTAAACCCTAAGCCATTAACTACAATGAAGAGAGATCGCTGCGCCGACCTCCGGCTTGATGCGAATGCGCCATCTTGCACCGACGGAAAATAATAAAAAAACTCATGGGTTTAGGGTTTAGGGTTTAGGGTTTAGGATCTTTATGTCTGGACTTCCAGGCGAGGTGGCAGGCAAGTTTTAAGGAACAAGACCAGGGTTTAGGGTTTAGGGTTTAGGGTTTAGGGTTTAGGGTTTAGGGTTTAGGGCTTCCTATATGCAGATGGGGCTTCCAACTTTGGGAACTGGACCTTTTTTGGGGAGAGGCGGAGTACATTGATATTCCTTTGTGGGTGATTGGACAGTTGGTTGCAGCTATGTGAGAGTTGTATGGAGTTGTGCCATCTGAGTGTCGGCTTGAAGAGTGGGCGTGATTTTTTTGCAATTTTGTAGAATGTTAGTGGTTGTATGTATGCTTGCTGACTTCAAGCCTCGAATCCGAAAAAGCGGCAACGCCGCACCACAAACCCTGAGCAGGAGCAAGCTACGACGTGCGCGCCGCCGACGCCCTGGAAGCCCAAAGCGGTGACGGTGGGACACGCAATGCCCTCTAAACCCCATATCAAGCAAATCATTGCACTCCTAACACCGAAATTCCGCTGAAACCCCGGAACATGAGCATTGGAGGGCTCCATAGCCGCGACTCGAGGGACTCAGCAGAGCATTATAAGGTCTACAGGGCTTCGCGCTGCTGGTGAGATCTACCAGTCGACTGCTTGTTGAACATTTCTTGATACGAGTCTCTAGATAAGTCGCTGCTGAACAGGGCCCGAATAATTCCCAACCCTCAAACCCCGAAACGTAGGGTTTAGGGAAAGGGTTCCCTCGCCCCGAAGGGAAAGGACCCTGAATTGCCGGAGGTGTCCTCATACCCTTCGCCATTCGCAGCGTTCGGCGCAGCTGCAGTGAAACAGGTGGATTGCTTAAACTGCTGAAAGCAGTCTGGGTAGTCCTCGAAGTTCGGGTCCCTTTTGGGTCCCCTATCTTTTTTTGCTGCACTGTGTGTCTGAGGCCGCGACCTGTCGACAAGTAACAATGAGTAGCCGCTTCAGGCTGCTTGTGAATCCAGACAAAATAAGGAAACTAATACGGCGGGATACCGTCAAAACCATCGAATTTGGGGGTCCACTTGTGGCCAAGCGATTTCCTATCAGGGAGACATACGCTTTGAGCAAGGCTAGCTTGGAGAAAAATGAACATCTGATGGTGAATATGTTGACACCTCATGGACCCATAGAAGCCACTAAGGCTTTTCATACCAAAGACTGCCGCTGATTTAACATGTTTAACGGAATGAATACTGGTCGGAAGGCCTTTGCACAATCTTAAGAAGAAAGTTCTGAAGCGAGACACCAGGATGCGGGCGGTCATGCCCGGGACCAACCAACCAGGAAAGAAACCATACACTGCAAGAAACTCGGTCAAAACTACCAGCCAGGGAGTTCGTTCCCCTTGAGGCCTGTCGCAAAAGAACCATCTCTGCTCGCTTACAAAGTTGGCAAGGGCTTCAGCAGCTGCTTGAGACAATGGTCTTCTACCCCGAAGAAGCGGGTCTAGGCTAAGCCCTTGCCACCCTGAAAACTGCATCCCTTCTGGCTGGAGATGCGCGAAGAAGCCGAGATATCTGCGCCGAAGGCAGTCAAAGAGGAAATCAGGCGGTAGAGTAAGTAGAGTATTCGTTCTGTACATCTGCAGCACCTTTGTTTCAACATCCCCAAGCAGAACAGAATGTCCCATTAAATGACAATTACTGTAGCATTTGCGAGGGCGCTTGCTATTTAACCGCCTGCGGGGCTTGCAAGTGTCCCCTATCTAGTGCGGCGCCCTCAAGGACCCTAATTTAGAACCACCCCATGAAGAGTGGGTTGTAGGGCCTCCTTGTAGGAGCTGCCTGTGCAAGGCATGGCGAAGTGCAGATCCCTGCAAATTCCCAACTGAAATGCTGTCTCTGAGGGTTGCGGGAGTTCCCCTAGTGTTGGATGAGGGTATATAGGGTTTAGGGTTTAGGGTTTAGGCACAAGCCCCAGCTACGTAGGCTGGTGGCAAACAAAGACCCCCGTGCTGTAGCCAGGAGCGCCGGACTCGTACCTTGGCGCGGCGGAAGGGCCCCGAAGAACAGGACGCTTGGAAAAGTTCTGAGGGTTTGGCGTCTATGGCTATGGAGATTCTGGTTCGGACATGTCTTGGAGCATCCTCATACCACTTGAAGCCTAAGCCATCCTAAGCCCATAGATCTACCTGGAAAGCGGCACCCCTTTTCAGCTCACAGACTGCACTGTCCAAAGGAAGTGACTACGAAACGCCACGCTTGAAAGCCCCTAAACCTCTGGCAGGAGGCCACCCACTCGCCTCCCAGCGGCGGCAGCGGTGAGATGTCACCAAGCTCACCCTCCTAGCACACGGAGAAATGCGTGCAGCGTCGTGTCTGGGGGCTTCAGGGTTTATGAGCTTGATGGCGCACGCCATATGTTGTAGCTTGGCAGAGCTCTCATGTTCCCTACATGTTCCTCTTCTCCCAGTCCCTTCAAGCGATATCGCAAGAAGTGAAGTCGCAAACAGCTGCTGTTCCAGGGTGCCTGTAAACCATTCCAACTCCTCAAACATCCCACCAAAACCACCAGATGCAAAGAAGCGAAATCCAAGAGGTTTGCTGTATTCCGGCGCAGTTGCACCTACGGTCCTGGCTGCTATCCTCTCTGCTTGCTCCGTCGTTGGCCATGCGTCTTTCTGTCCTTTATATCCAGAACAACCCCGCCTCGTCGAGCGGGAGGCAACAATCTAAGTCCCACCAACAGAGCAGCATTCAACAACACAGTCGCGCGTTAGAGGCAGCGTTTTCCCTTTGTCTGAATCCTTCAGTCTATATCCCCCTTGGGAATTGTTTTATATGTTTGTTCATACAAAACCCAAGAGGATATTAAGAAACATATTTTATTGAGGTTCTAAGGGGAGTGTAGGCTTTCCAGTGTGGGAGAAGCTTAGGATTGCACATTCGCACTCGCATGAGTTTTTTTACTTTGGGATGGTGGAGGTGCGAATGTATTCTAGGCCCTGAGTTTACTATTCCGGGTTCTCAAGTCCCATTGCCCCAATCCCTCCATTTAGGGTTTAGGGTTTATTTAGGGTTTAGGCTTTAGGGTTGAGACTCCAGTCCATCCCTCCACCGTAGCACGGACACTGAGGGCAGACGCAGATGCCCGAGACTCAGCTGCGGCAAGCCATCCAGGATGCTAAGGGGCTTTGTTAAGTTCAGTTGTCGGGTTTTGGGTTTAGGGTTTAGGTACAGGGGGCCCAAGAACCCGGTTGAAAAGATACGGACTATCGGACTTAGGCAGGGGTGGACAGTTCCATGGGATCGTCTTTTTTGCTGGGGCTGTGTGGCTGACGCGTGAAGGAATGCTTCACGTTGCCCTCCCTAAACCCTTAACCGTAAACCCTAAACCCAGGTTCACAGGCCTAGGCGCCCAAGTAGAGGTGTGGCTTGCTGCAGTCCAGCTTCGTCCGCTCTATGGGGGTTTCCGAAATAAGGGGCACCTTATTGGGGTCCTTAGCGTTTAGGGTTTAGGGATTGTGTTAGGGGCACCTTCTTTTCGCAAACCCCCATGTAAGGCAGCAAGGAGATCACTCGACCCCCTGTGTTTTAGACAGCCGGGGGCATCTCACCGAGCGCGCACCTTTTGGATTTAGGATTTAGGGTTTAGGGTTTAGGGTTTATTGTTTAGGGTTTAGGGTTTAGGGTTTAGGAGGTTGACGGTCTTCTTTAGCGTCTTCTAAGTGGCAGATTTTGCAGGTGTTTGTACCTATGTTGGCTTTGCATCCTCTGAGAGTTTGAGATGGCTGGCTATTATTACTCTCTTACGACAGTACTCCTACTATATTACTACACTGCTATTTTGCGAAGTTCAACATATTGACTATTAGTATTCGTATACTTCATATATAGAGATATACATAGGTAGATAAGCGATAAACTGTGTGATTACTGTGTTTTCTGCCCTACAATTACGCAACTAGATTAGTATCTTCTTCTGTTGTTCTATGCTTCTATCACGCAGGCATCGCACCATCTGATTACTGTACTCTTTTACTCTATCAGGATATTCCTAAATTACCATATTACTAGTACTCCCTAAACCCTAGACCCGAAACCCTAAACCCTAAACCCCAAACCCTAAACCCTAAACTCTAAACTCTAAACCCTAAACCCTAAACCCTAAACCCTAAACCCTAAACCCTAAACCCTAAACCCTAAACCGTCGGTCTCAGGTCGAAAGGGTGGCGTTTGCCTCGCTGGTGGCGGCTGCAGGCCGGGGCCTGAGAGGAGCCTCCTTTAACCCTCAATAAACCCCCAAAACCCTAATCCCTAAACCCTAAACCCTAAAAACCCTAAGCCCTAAACTTAACTGTGGACGTACAGTTCAGCTGGGCGGGCAAAAAACATCCCATGTAGATTCAAGGCTGTAGAAGCCGTAATGCCTCATGCGCGAAGCCGGCAAGTAAACGAGCGCTTGAATCGTTTCGGGTCGAAAATTCGACTCCAACGATGCTGCTTCTCGTACGTCGTTGGTCCTCGAGCTTGTGAGTTTTAGTTTGGAGTAACCCTAAACCCTAAACCCTGAACCCTGAACCCTGAACCCTAAACCCTAAACCCTAAACCCTACTCGGCTTTGGTTTTGGGGGCTGCTCAGCTTCAGGGTTGCGGGAGGAGGGGGTCTTCTGTTGCGCTGACGGGGGTTCCAGCTGAAGTCTTATAAAGCTCATCAGCCTCGGCAACCCGTGCAATTGAGGGGGAGAGCAGCTTCTGGGTTTCCCAAGTTTTGATATACCACTTCATGCAACGCAAATTGATTGATAAAGAGTTTGCTGGCCGCCTGCCAGTGCAAGTCACAACACAAAACAAGAATGTGTGGTTTTGCCAGTCTGGCTATGGTTCTGGGTTTCAAGTTTCAGGCCGCGGCTGAAGGTATCGGGGCATTGAAGTCTTCGGCCGAGAGTTGGAGCAGAAAACGGAGTTTCGGGTTTGATTTCGAGCTCGGGTCCTGGCAGCTGCCCATGCAGCTGATGCAGCAAAGGTCAGTCGTTTCGATGACGCTGCTCAAAAACAGAGGTGCTTCGCGTGGCATGGGAGCCCTTTGTAGGGCATTGTAGGGGGCGAAAGCGGGGGCTCAGTATGACATGCAGAGACTCTACGTGGGGTCGTAGTGGGATCCTGAAATCTGCGGCTTTTGGGTATTTATGTAGAGAGAGAATATATGGTATATGTCAGATCTATATGTATAGTATAGTTATATTGTATATATACATATATATATATATATATACGTATATATATATATATATAGTACAGATATGTGGCGTATATGGCTATACACTGTACACATACAAGTGCATACAGACTATTTAAAGCTGCAGCCATGCCGCTCCGCTGCGAGTGCCCTCGTTGCCGCAAGCTGGTTGTGCCCAGCATTGACCCTCGGCAGTCTGACAGAGCGTCTGGTAATCGCAAAAATATAAAATGTGCATATCTATAAATAAATACATTAGTCAATATATATATATATATGTATATATATATATTCATTCATTCATTCATTCATTCATTCATTCATTCATTCATTCATTCATTCATTCATTGATTCATTCATTCATACATACATACATACTTACACACACATATAGAATATGAATTTATTTATTTATGAACACCTTCTAGCTCGGAACCTGCAGAATCCCAACGCCTCAACGACCTCAAGGACACACGGACTTCTTCCAAATAGCGTTTCTTAGTATTCTCGATCAGTTCTGAGCAGATCTGCCAATGAGAGCTGACTATTGTTTTGCAGGACCTGTGCTGCACCCTGCCATGTAACAAGTTGCTCATGAAAGTTGTGGGCAGCTGGGGTTGTGCACCTTGCAACTGATCTTGACCCACACCCGCAGCACCTTTGTTTGGACTTGCTACTGTAACGGTATAGCTTGGGGCCATAGTTTTAGAGGGTATAGAGCACATGAGGGTCCAGGAGCACAAGGTGGGGGGGGGGGGGGGAACGTTTCTTTGGATGTGGTTCAGGGTCAGCCAAAACTTCGCAGCAATCCGGACAGATCCCGATTCTCCCATTCTTGCAGCATCACCGCTTCTGGGGGTCGGACCTTGATGGAGGCATACCTGTCCTGAGAACTGGGATACAGTAAGCCAAAGCAAGAAAGGCCAGAAACAATGTAATCCGCAATTTATTTCGACAAGAAGAAGATGAACAACACTAAGTACTCTTAAAATCGCCGGACGTCACCAGGCCTTCGATCCCCACGAGCTGCCGCTTGGGGGCTTGGCCAGCCAGTGCCCTTACTGCCACAAGCCCATCAGGCCGGAACAAGGGGCTTATTAAGGGTGTATTAGATTTATGAAGGTTTTTTCAGGGTGGTTTCAGGGTTTACATGGGGTGCTCCACCTGCGCTTGAGGATGAAGGGCCACAAAATGGTTATAAAACGAAATTCGGGAAGACTCCAGCTTCACCTATGCCTTCGACAGACCCTATGAGGCTCGAACACCGCGCTGCTGTTGCTGGTGCATTGCGCATAGGGACCTCAAGCTAAGCAGTGTGAGGTGTCGAGTGAGGAAACGACACGCCGGAATACATCAGCAACAGCTGGGCATCAGCCATTGGCAGACCTTATCCCAGCTGATGGGGAGAATGTGTGGACATTCTATTGGCGTTCAAACCTTTAGACTCTTTAGACCCTAGAGAGAGTCTGCATCCCTTTTCTAGCAGCCCTGCACCTTCCAACAGGATTTTTCCAGGTATTGCAACCCCCTGAACTCACCCTCACCCAGGCCAAATCCCCAACCAAATCCCCAACCCCCACCCCCCCCCCCGCCCCCACCCCCCCCACCTGCAAACACCCCCACAAACACACCCTGCCGCCACCTCTGACCCTAAACCCTAAACCCCAAACCCTGCCTTGCACGAGTGTGAGAGCCGAAGCCCCAAGCCTCAAACCCTAAATCCTCACACAGGGTGATTCGAACCTCGGAGAAGCGTGTGGAGTCAGCGATCAGCTGTGTCCTGGCAGCTAGTGTACACTATATCCCCCTTGTTTTTTTTTTCAGTTTTGTTCATGTTACACCCAAGAGGAGATTTAAAATGCTATTTTTTCTATTAAGGTTCTAAGGGGAGTATAGTACAGGGTCCCACTCAGGGTGCAGCATTTGCAGGATCAGTGCCCGGTCTCAATTTTGCCTAATATGATCTGTATCGGGTTTAGGGTTGAGCTTAGGGTCTGTATAAGGTTGAGGGCCAGGGGCCACCCAAGCAGAGCTCTGCAGGCACGGGCCCAAGCGGGCTTACTCAGCCTGTTGGAAAAGGGTCTCCAAGTACACGCCCGTGTTTTGCACCGCCAGATGTTGAGGGTCAGCTTGCTCATGACTGTAAAGCTTTCGGCTTTGGGCTCCATGAATGATGAGCACAAATACAAAAGCACCCAAAGCACCCACCAAACTCCGAGATCCAACTTGCTCCAGAAAGGACTCGGGGACCAACACGAGGGAAGTGCCTGAGGCGTGACGGTGGCTGGATCCGTGGCCCTGTGCACCGCGTCCTTCGCCCACCTTGCAGCCCCACCGCTGCAAAGTGATGTGGGGGGGTGTTTAGGGTGTTTTAGGGTTTAGGGTTTAATTAGGGTTGTTTTAGCCCGTGTTTTGAAGGTGCAAGGCTTCATGTGGTATACCTGAAGAGGCGGTACTGGACAATCAAGTTGGACTAGGGTTCCTGGTGTTAATTGTTTCGTTAGCAAGGTTTGGGATAGGGGGTGCAGATACGTATATTAGTCGCAGAGGTGCTGGGCGGGTGGCTTCAAGACACCAGAAACCTCAGCAATCTAAAGTCTGAAGCCCAACGTCCTCTGAATGCTACGCTTGCCCAGGTTCCAGCAGGTTTAGCACCGGCTGTGTGTGCCGAGTCCTCAGGGGGCCCACTGTAGGGCTTCGGATTTTTAAGGACGTGCTGGGCGAAGATCTCCGTCTGGAGGATTATGAGGTTGGAGCGCTGAAATGCTTTACAACATGTTGGCTTTCTCTCTCCGGCTCTCTCTGTTTCGATTTGTCTGAATACTACGTGTATGTCGTATGTACACAGTTTCGTTAGTTTGTCTAACGCATACATGTACACGCTCATAGTCGTGCAAATTGTCGCTGGAGCAGGTTTCAATAGGTTTCAGGCTTTAGCGAGGCGGGCGAAGTCTCTTGGAAGAAGGTTCGGATGCAGCCACTGTGGACCCCGGAAACGGTTTTTGGACCCCATAAGGGGTATTGGTGTATTCGAACCTGCCCCTTCAACCTAGGCAGTCACTGCCGCCCAGGACTTCTGGGTTGGGCGGGTGTGCAGTTGCAGGGTGTGGGTGTCGTGTAGTGGCTGCAGCAATTTCTGAGCCAACCAGCAAGCGACAATCGCTGTGAGGCTTCCTTTATCCGCGTCTTTTGCGGTTTCATCGGTTTCGCACTTGTGCTGCACACGCAGCTCTCAGTACGGAAGCATGCTGCCCGAGAGATATCATAGCCATCCTTGTTCCTTACCATTAGCTCCCAAACCACCACTCCTAGTGGCCTACATACCCAATTAGTATTATTATTATTATTATTAGTCTTTGTTAGTTGTATTAGTAGTGCCCTCGCTGGTCTGTGGTCTGGTAGAGCTTCTCAAGCTAAAGCCTGCATGCTTCGAAACCTTGGCAAAGAAGTGGGCACTTCCCGTCAGCTTATATACCCCTGAGATGCGATAGTTCATATCTGGTGGACGAACCCAAGCAGCCCTAAACCCTAAACCGGAAACCGGAAACCCTGGACAGGACATGCTGCTGGGCACGGTCCGGAAGGCCAACTGTTTGAAATCAGTTTAGTATAGGGTTTAGGGCTTAGGGTTTAGAGTTTAGGGTTTAGGGTTTCGGGTTTCGGGTTTAGGGTTTAGGGTTGCTTCTTCGGCAGCCCACTTCGGCATTCATTAACTGGAACATGAGGCATTTCGGGTTCTCTATAAAGTACAACGACAGGATTTGAAATGGGTTTTATGAGTTATGAGGGCTTCTGTAGTGCGTGATCATCCCACACGGCGGACCTCGCGGTGAACCTGAGGATGTGTGGATTTTCAGGGAAGCCACGACTTTCATAGGGTTTAGGTTTTAGGGTTTAGGGCCGCGGTGGCTCTTGAAAGTGGACCTTAGAAATCCTAAATCCCTGAGCTTTTGCACCTCGGACCCCTGAGTCGTACTCCTCTCTAGAAGCCTAGGGCCCTTGGGATATGTCATATTTTCCCTTATTGGGTTTAAGTTGGGATGTTCCCCCCTTATACTAACAGTCCTTAGATGTCCTTAGCAGGGATTCTACTACCTCCAAGCATAGTCCCGATTCAGGACTGGTAGTTTCAGGGCGAACATCCCAAGCCATCCCCGAAGCTGCTACGCAGGGTTTAGGGTTTAGGGTTTAGGGTTTAGGGTTTAGGGTTTAGGGTTTATGGCCGCGGCCGCAGGACCCCTGGAAGCGCCGCGCTGGCGCATTGGGACTTCTCTCTGCAGGCGGGGGAGGGGGGGGGGGAGGGGGTAAGCAGATTTGCTGGTTTAAGGGTGTTTTTCGGACTGATAGGCTTATGTTATTATGTGTGTATGTATATATGTATATATATATATTATATGCATATACATAGAATAGATTTTAAAAAGTGTGTGTATATATTTTTTACGGGAGAGCTTTTATGATACGTCTAGTACTAGGACACATTGTCATGAGTTGGCTTTCTGGCGTGGAGAGCCTTTGTCCCTCTTCCCAAACCACAAACCCTAGAATCCCTACACCTTAAACCCCCCAATGCTTCTTGGAGCACTTCGGACTGGCTACTGCTACGGGCCAGTAAGTGGAGGGTTTGCCGCCCCCGAGACGGCTTTAACTTTAGGGCTTTGAGCCGAGTAGTGGTGTAGCGTCTTTAGGCGTTTTGGGTTTGATGGTTTGATTTAATGGATTATACTCGGGGGGGGGGGGGGGGGGGGTACAATAATCCCGAGTAAGGACTGTTAGTATAAGGGGTAACCTCCCAACCCTAAACCCTGAACCCCTAAGTCCAAGGCTGCACAGTGAGCCTCGCAGCGGCAGACAAGGCCTCGGGGCATGGGGTCTACAGGTAGGGTTGAACGGGTTGGGCAGGCAAGAAGCCTGTTGCAAGAAGGTTTAGGGTTTAGGGTTTAGGGTAAAACCTCACGGGAGATACGGAAGCTCACGGCTTCCCAACCTTCTTCCCGAACCCGAAACCCTGAGTGCCAAAATTCGCCCAGAAGGCCTTCACCCGGAAAATGCATGCAAAAGACAAGCACACCCGACAACCCTAAACCCTAAACCCTAAAACCAAGACCAATGTTACTTCTCGACCCCAGTGGCATGCTAGCGCGATGTGCGGGAGAACTTGGGAGATGTCTCACTCGGAGACAGGGCGAGGCACGTAAAACCGTGCCACCTGCCCGGCCTACTTTTGTGTTTCAAACGCGGCGCCGGTCCTGGAGCACCTGAAGAGGTGCGAGGAGCGAAGTGCCAGGCTTGGGTAGCAGCCCCACATTGCCCAGATCGTACGGGGTTGTTTGGTTGGGTTTGTGCCTTGGGTAGGGTTGTTGGGGGCTGCATCGGGGCCCCTTTTGCCTCATGAACCACGTATACCCACGACTGTTCCCTGCGGAGTGATCCCTTTGGGGGTCTGCTAGGCGGGTGGCAAAAAAAAAAACCAAGACCAGACCTCTTTTCTGTTTGGGTGGCGGTGGAAGCCTCCAGCTTGCCCACGCCCTGGAATCCGTTTAAGACTGCTTAGTAAAGACCTCAAAAGGAGACAAAGTGAGTTTAATATGGGGGCCTTGATAATTTCAATAGGGTTTTCGGGGGAGCATTGAAGTTTAGTTATATAGGGACCATATGGGACTACTATTAGTAATTCTCGCGACCCCTGTATTCGGCCTTTCTACGGATTTTCCGTGCTGTCTATGATTTCAGCTCTGGGTGTTCAATCTGCTCCATGGTGGCTTGGGCGGTGTTGGGCTGCACGGTTTAGGGTTTAGGGTTTAGGGTTTGCAGTCCTTTGCCCACCCAGCATCCCGCACGAAGGTGCGCGTGGTGGGCCAGGCCAGCATCGGCCGGCTCGGCGGCCAGACCGCTTTCGAAGCTTGCGGAAAATTACGGTCTAGGACCCGGAGTAGGCCCTTATTTCGTTTTTTTTGAGTCTTGCAATCCCATGAAAACCAAAAAGGGTACCCTGTTGTTCTTTTTGCTGCACTGTGTGTGTGAGGCCGCGACCTGTCGACAAGTAACAATGAGTAGCCGCTTCAGACTGCTTGTGAATGCAGACAAAATAAGGAAACTAATACGGCGGGTACGGTCAAAACCATCGAATTTCGGGTCCCCTTGTGGCCAAGTGATTTCCTATCAGAGAGACATAGGCTTTGAGCAAGGCTAGCTTGGGGGAAAATAAACATCTGATGGTGAATATGCTGACAGCTCATGGACCCACAGAAGCCACTAAGGCTTTTCAAATGAATGCTGGTCGGAAGGCCTTGGCACAATCTTAAGAAGAAAGATCTGAAGCGAGACGCCAGGATGCGGGCAGTCATGGAAACTAGCAACCAAGTGAACTGAACAGGCGCTTAGGTTAGGGCTGCCTTGTCCCCCACACACTGGGTCACAGCCTGTTCCCTGGATTTGCTTTGTTTTTTTCATCAGGGCTTGTTGCCTGCTCCTGCGACATGTGGGTTTCGCCCCCTAAAAGTCAACCCAAGGTCTACACGCGCCGGGGCCTGGAGAATGCCAAGAGTGCAGTTTCGGCACGGAATGCTGCGAAGAACGCAGCTGGACACTGGCTGCGTCTGAAGGCCTGGAAGGTTTCCGCCACCAGCGATCCAGAGAGAGACTAGCCACGACCTTTCGGAGCTTCCGGGGTGGGCGGGGGGCGGGTTACAATGCTGTTCAGGGTCCTTCTCATGCAGAAATTTCTGCTCTAGCACCGAAATGAAGACGTTGCCCTCGGACATCGGACTCCATTGCCAATGCAGATCCTCGATAGGAATAGCCCTCAGTGACTCCATATCGATTTCCAAATGTCATGCCCAAAAAGCGACAAGGCCCGCTTCTAGGCACATCGTCTCACTACTCATCTCATCCTCATCTCGTGTCCTCTTCTTAGGTCTTTAATGATCCTCTCATGTCCTCTTTCTTGGGGGCTGTCAGAGAGTTCGCATGAGTTGGCGAGGCAGGGGTTCAATGCATCGTTCGCGCACGCCTTCAAATGCGCAGGCCGGTGCGAAGAGCATCTACGAGGCAAGGCTCAGGGCGCCGGAGAGCAAAAGCCACAAGATTCTTCGGTTTTTTAAAAGGGTTTATCGGGTAGTAAACCCTAAACCCTAAACCCTAAACCCTAAACCCTAAACCCTTTTGCAGGCCCCAAGGCCCTGAGTCATCAATCGTGTACAAATGTCAAAGCTGATGGGTCCATGGCTCCTAGTCTTGTTGCCGTTGTTGCAGGCCGGGTCGATCCTCCATAAGGGTGCTGCGCGCCCCCAACCTCTTTCCCTCCCGAGCCGAAATTATCTTGGGGGTCCTTATTATCAGGGAGTCCTACAACTTGGGGATCTCCCTAAACCCTAAACCCTAAACATCTATATTCGGGGTCCCTTCTTTTCGGTAAACTCGCAGGATGGAACCTTTCAGGGCAGCCTTAAGCCTTGCGAGGTTGGGCTGTCTTTCTGGCCCCCACCGCCTCCCGCCGAGTTGCCCGTGCGGGAAATTGAGCTTCAGGCAGAGGATGGGTTGATCCTGGAGCCTCTGTTGTTTTTTTTTTTTTTTGGGGGGGGTTCCGAAAATAGGTACCTTATTGGGGTGCCTTAGAATCTCCTTACTATTTACATTTGGGGTCCCCTATCTTCGTAAGTGCGACTATAGAGCTCTGATGCCACGCACTTTAGCTTCCGCTCCTCGGATAGCTCCTTGGACCTGCTACTCAATTTCAATTTTTTCAAATCCTCGCGTAGAGCCAGGTTGACTCGACAACGGGCCTAAGTTACCGGCCACCTCCAAAGACCAACCTGGACCATGAACCCCTAAGCCCTAAGTCCAAACCCCAAAGCCCTCAGGCTAAATGCTTTACGATTTAGGTCTTCCGGGTTTTGGGCACGAAGGCCCCCCTAAAACCCGAAGCCCTGAACCCTGAACCCTGAACATCCGCAAGCAGGTGTTTCGGTCGGCGGAGCCGCAGCCAGAGGAGCCAAGGTTCCCTCAGCGCCTTTGTTTAGGGCTTGGGGTTTTAGGGTTTAAGGGTTTATAGAGTTTATAGGGTTGAGGGTTTAGGGTTTAGGGTTAGGGTTTTTTGGGTTTGGGGTTTCGACTGGTGTAGGGTTCTTAAGGGAGGGGTGTTCAAGGGGGGTAGGTAACCCAAGTTTCCCTTGTACCCCCGACTCCTCCCTAAGGCTCCCGAAGCCTCTCCTAGCTACCTACCTTGAGCCCCCCTCCCTTAAGAACCCTATGAGACTGGGTTCAAAAAGGGCTTAGGGTACTTCACTCGCTTGGGGCTGTGGGTTGCACTGCATCACACGATTTCTGTGCCACCGCGCCACAAGAGTTCTCCCCATGGAACACAAATGGATGCTTCCAACAGCAGGGAGGGATCGACAGGGAGGCTTGGGTTGAGAGTGGAACATTCGGGGAGGTGACGTGAACTTTCTCTTGGGATGAATGCGGAAGGTTGCGCAGGTGTCTTTAGGCGACAGGTGCCAGACGCGAGGCGTAGAGGCTTTCGGATCGGTTGTTCCTAGCCGACTGCATGTGCATGCCTGGTGCAAGTTTTCGCTACGGGCCCAGCAGCATAAAACCCCAGAAGCTTGATTTCCCCTGCGGCGCAAGCTTGCGCTGTGGTTATGAGACCTTTTTAGTTTATTATGCCCTGGGTCCTGAATAAAAAATATTAACAATAAAGTATGTATGTATGTATGTATGTACGTACGTATTATTGGGGATATACATACATATATATATATACTATAATTATATACATACATATGTATGTGGGTTGGGACCCCGGAAACTTGTCCAGCGCCTCTCAGACCTCTATCCTTGTGCCCTAAACCCTGAACCCAACCCTAAACACTCAAGCCTAAACCCTGAACCCTGAACCCTGAACCCTAAACCATCCATGCAAAAACAAAAACTGAACTCCCGGAAAAGGCAGGACATGCTGGCAGCAGAGACCGTTGACGATGACGGCTGGCAGGCACACTCGGAGGGTTCAGAATTTAGGGTTTAGGGTTTAGGGTTAGGGGAAGTTGCAGCAGCAAGGTGTTTGGCGGTCTCTTGTCACAGGGCTCAGGAGATGGCGCAATTTTGTTTTAGTTGACAGAGATGCATGTGTAGTTCATGGAGGGGCTCGGGACACCTCCTGAGAGAAAGAAAGACAGAAAGAAGGAAAGACATAAATGAATACAGAATGAAAGAAATACAGAAAGACATAAAGAAAACACACACATATCTTCATATATATATATATGTATATGTATGTATGTGTGTGTGAATATACGTATATACATACACATATTAATATAAATATACATATGTATATATATATGTATATATATATATATGTATGTATGTATATATATATATATGTAAGGATAATATATATATATATATCAACACCGGGTGTTCAAAACACAGAATATTTGCATCCCTTACCACGTATCTGCACGGATTTCTATGATCATACCTGACAGGCTGGTTGTCTATGGCTGATATGTCAAAGCAAAGCAGTCAAAGCATTATGCATCCGTCACGTGCAAGAGCCAGGCCAGGACAGTAGGCGAACAGCAGGTCGCTCTCCCTCTCCCTCTCGCTCTCTCTCTCGCGCTCGCTCTCTCTCTCTGTTTGTCTGTCTCTCTCTCCCTCTGCCTCTCGCTCTCTCTTTGTCCCTGTCTTGGTCCACAACAAGCATCGTTGTCGACTCGAATATGAAACCCCTTGCGCGGCAGGTGTTGCCAGCTGACGCAGCGAATATCTTGAGGCCCAGACTTCAGTTCAGCCGTTCAGGTCGCAGGGCTTGAGGGTTTATAGCACAAAATGTTCGGTTTGTCGCCACCATCAGCCTCCAACCCGAAAGCTTATAACCTTGAGTCATTTTAAAGCGTGATGCTTCAGTCTTTTGGACATGACTGCCATTACCGAGCTGCGATCTGCAACCCCAACCTCTGCTGAACCTGGAGCCGCTATAGAGCCCCCTTCCAGGCAAGAGGAGCTGTCTCTGTGCGGGAAGTACGACGCCAGGGATGAGCGGCTTGTTTTTTTCAGCCCACGAAAGTTGTGGTCAAAAAGTGTTCTGTGTTGGGTTTTTGTCCGGTTTTCGGGTCGTACAGTGTTAGAGGCTAGCTGCTGCTTATTTTCCGGGAAGTCTTCGTCGTCGTGGGTTAGGTGCATGGGTGCAGGTTCTGGGTTGAAGAATGTTGACGACTTCCATCGCCAAATACACTGGAGCCTCTGGTCCAAGTCGCCGTGTGTGTGTGTGTGTGTGTGTGTGTGTTTCTTTTCTTTTCTTTTTTATTTTTTTTTTGGGGGGGGGGGGGTTAGGGTTTAGGGTTGAGGGTTTAGGCTTTAGGCTTTATGCTTTACGGTTTAGGGTTTGGGGTTTAGGGTTTAGGGTTTAGGGTGTACGGATGGTCAGCAACCAGTCCCAGATGTAGGGTTCCCTTCTAAGAAGGACGCGGAACAAAGATGGGGGGGGGAGGCGACTCTCTTGATTCTCTAGAAACTGCGGAACCAAGCTTTGTGGACCCCCTCGAACCCTAAACCCTAAACCCTAAACCCTAAACCCTAAACCTTATAAACCCTAAACCCACCCCGAGGTGGCTGCTGCTGTCCGACACAACCTCCCAACTGCGCTTCTCGGCCCAGTGCGGTGCAGAGGCAAACTGCGCGGCACTGAGGGCTTGAAAACGTGAAGAGCGACAGAGTTAGGGTTTAGGGTTTAGGGTTCAGCACTCCGGGTAGAGCAGTGTTATGGTAAAGCTTTATATACGGCTCAGATAAAATACCCACCCACCCAGAGAATCCCATAACATTGAGAACCAAAAATCGGCCACATTCTGAAATTAAAGCGGCCAAATTCTGAAAACAAAGCGGCCAAATTGAGAAAACAAACAACGGCCAAATTCTGAAATTCAATTAAAGTTTAAATAAAAAATGAATATATATATATATATGTATATGTATATATATATATGGTAGAGAGGGTTTAGGGTTTAGGGTTTAGGGTTTAAGGGGTTGCAATGCAGGCTTTGTGGGGTTCAGTGTTCGAAGGCTTATCGTGTTGATAGCTCTTCAAAGGCTGAGGTCTCAGGGGTTTAGGGTTTAGGGTTTAGGGTTTAGGGTTTAGGGTTTCGGGCAAACGGAGTTTGCAGAAGTAGCTTATAGGACAGAGAGCTTGAGTTTCTACAGGCTTCCACCATGGACATGGCATGGTATGCATCTACCGACAATACAGACGATTAAGGCCCTTCTCACAAAACAGCCCTAAACCCTAAACCCTATAAACCCTAAACCCCCAGCTGTGTTGCTGGCTGCACTGTGAGGGCTGAAGGACTCTGAAAACGACATTGGTTGCTTTCATCCTCCCTCTGGTGCTCATTCTTTAAACAGGTTCACGGGTGGTAATTAAGTGGGATCATAGGTCCCCCCTCACCTAGTGTGATCTGTTTTGTAACCGAAGACAAGGCGCATACCCAGCTTTTGCCTTTCCCTCAGAAGGGTTTCAATTGGTTCTTTAACCTGACATCGAGAACTTGCGAACATCACTTAGAGAACACTTCGCTCTCCACTCCGGCGGCAAGATCTTTGCCAAACTGCTGCCTTGAACTGGAGGTATGCAGCCCGGATGTCGTGGGAGGTTAGGCTGTGGGGTTTAGGATTTAGGGCTTAGGGTTTAGGGTGTGGTTAGGGTGAATTGTGGGGTTGAGCTTGGAAGTATTGACCGGTGCTTAGCACACGCCCCACGGCTTGGGCCGCCGTCTATTGATTTGCGAAGGCCGTGCTTGACCCCGAAATCACTGGCAGATTCCTCAAGTTGGGGAGCTGCCTCAGGGGGTTTAGGGATTAGGGTTTAGGGTTTAGGGGGTGAGACAGAACACGGTGTCGGAAGCAGGCGGCATCTCATTGTTGCCATGCCCGGGCCAACGTGTTTTTCAACAGGTGCCACACTGATGTGATATTTCCGCTTAGGCTGACCAGTGGCCATATGTATATATTATTTATTTATTTACTTATATACTTATTTGTTTATTTGTTTGTATGTATTTATTTCCATATATACATATATCTGATATGATATGGTATGATATGGTATGATATGATATGATATTATTCTAAATTATTATATACATATATCGGGAAGGGTCAAGCGCACGCTGTGGATACTGATCTCTTGCTGGTGATCCCTCCGCACTGACGCACCCGACTTCCTTCAGACAGCATATCATAATATGAAAGTGCTAGCGCAGAGGGGTTGGGTGCTGGGACACGTCTCAAGAATGAATTCGAGTACTGCAGGCCATTATCAAAGGGCAGCCCTGCCGGCTGCTTTTTGCCTCTTGGGGGCCTAGCCCCCAACCCGCCGCCCCAAAAACTCTGAGCCCCAAACCAAGCCTCTCCAAGCCCGAAACCCTAAACATAAACCCTAAACCCTAAACCCCAAGCTAAAACCCTGAACCCCAAAAGCTGCCTGGCAGGGCAGGCCAAGCTTTGGCCCAGAAAAGTTGCCCCGCCGACGAAAAGTTTAAAGGTCTTGAGATGGGCCCCGAAACCCTTGGCTGCTACGTAGGCAATCTTTCAGGTTTAGGGCTTAGGATGGTATAATATGCCAGAATGGAATAGCAATGTGACATTATGCATCCTTGTGTCAGTGGCTTTCTGTCGGAGATCTGAATAAGTGGATCGACGGTGTGTCTCGCTCCTGATGCCGCGGACGTTTTACGCGCATGACGCGCCTGAGTTGCTTTTGTGTTGGGGGGGGGATACTGGTTCAATCTAGGTAGAACCCATACTGATTCAATCTAGGTAGAACCCAAAGCACTGTTGTTATCATGGCCTACTTCTGATTCTTCCGGGCTGTCAGGCTCAACGCATGGGCCTTGCAGCTTGTCGCGGAAGGGCGTTTGGGCTTATTTTCAGGCGGCTTTCAGTGACATTTAGTGTTCGGGCACTGTAACTAGCCATGTAGTTCAAGCAGAACACCAGGGCCTGTCTCGAGGTATACCAAGACTTCAGGGTCTGTCCAAGCAAGCAGGACGGACAGCGCCGCAAAGTCAAACTAGGACCCAGAGTGGGCCCTTATTCCCTTTTTTTAGGGTTTCGGGTTTAGGCTTTAGGTTACCTTTTCACACCCTGGGACCCTTTATTATTCCTATAGGTAACTCGTGGGTCTAGGAACTTTACTTCCACGGCGGGGGCCTCGTAATTGTAGATTTCGGGGAGGATTAAGGTTCAGGCTGCCTGGGTAGACCAGGTTTAGAGGTGCGGGCTATTTCATGTGTTAGCTTAGCCGCAGGATTGAAGATCTCATGTCTTTGCGGTGCTGTAGGGAGCTGTATCCAGGTGCAGGCTCCGATTCTTTCTGCCACAGCCCGTTTAATCCAATGCCTGCTAGCACGCACGAAGCGAGCAACGGGTTTAGGGTCTAGGGTTTTGGGTTTAGTGTTTTGGGTTTAGGGCGTGAATCACCACCAGTCGCTAGGCACATGAATGGCATGCTTTCCACTGCATGTAGACGCCATCCAGGATGCAAGCTGGCGTGCTGATCCAAGAATAGCTGGGCTGTGTAACCACGACCTCCCGAGTCCTTCTGCAGGGTGTGGCTGATTCAGGCTACCAGTAGCAGGGCCCCTTGCCCTTTGGGCGACTTTGTTTTCAGCGCTTCAGCATCTGAGTATCATTGGTTTCGATGTCAAGGTTTAGGATTCCAGCGGTTTCGGGTTGACGGGCCGAAGCCCTAAACCCTGTTCAGGGCACGGCTTGGTTGTGGAACAGTTAAAGGCTTGCAGCATCCCAGAACCTGCTAGTCGATGGTTCTTTGATGAGCCCTGAGAATGAGAGTCTTTGGAGTCAGAGCTGCAGAAGGGCCTATCTTCCTCGAGTGCGCTTTTGTCAGACAAGAGGCTCCTCCAGTCAAGCTCCCGGGGCAGCACACACCGCCGCTAGACGTGGGGTATATAAGTGGTGTTAAACAATAGTCCCCAAACTCCTGGACCATCAGTACCCTAGTACCCTCACGTCCACAGTCCGAGCCCAACCATGGGGGGGGGGGGGCGGGGCATCTGCTGGAGTGAGGACCACAAAGACATGCGACACCCTTCTCAGAGTTTCATGGACAGTGCCGAGAGTTGACTACGCACTACCTTACTCCTTACCCAAACCCAAGAGGACTATTTAGGTTTCAAGGGAGATTTCCAGCACTTGGACGTATCCGAAAGCAAGAGGAGCCGAGGATGATGGCTGAGGGAGTTTCCGGGGCCAGTTGCTGCGTGGAACGGTGGAACAGAAGTCAGCGAAGTGCCCGAAAATGGAAGGCTTCACGATGATAAGGCCATCTGACCTGAGTTGGTCCTTCGTAGAAGTCATGACAAGCACCCCTTTTTGGTGTCATGTTTGTGCTCCATTGTTTTTCGTTGCTTCCTGAGATTTCGTCAGGAGTGACGCTCGAGACGCCTTAACTCAGCAAGGCATCGTTATGGTCACCATGTCCCCTCCATGAGCTTCATACAGATGCCGCTGCATATCGAGGTACTTTCCCATTCCCTAAAGCAAGCCCTGAAGTCTGCGATGCCTAGAACTCCTGACAAGGTCGGGCTGAGCGTCCGGGCCCCATTGTGGAGGGAAACGGACCTGGCCTAGCGAGGCTGCTTGGGATTTGGGGTGGGCTCTTATCTTGTTTGGTTTGTCTCATATATATATATATATGTTGTTACCTTGTCTTGTTGCTGTTTTACTTTCTTTCTCTCTCTCTATGAACATGAAATCACGCCAAGACGAAGTTGACCATAAAGTACTGGCATTTCATCAAAGTGCCGACCTCGCAGTAATTCCTCTCGTTCGGCGCCAGCCGGGCACCCTAAACCCTTTGCCACCAGTAGCATAGTATTTTCTGTATTGTTGGCTTCCTTAACTTTCCCTTGAGTAGGCCGCGCAGTACTTTGGCCAGGCGAGTGGCAACAACAGCACATCCTTCAAGGAAGAAACGCAACACACAAAACGGCTCATGTTTGCCACAGAAGTCAGCAATACAAAAAGGAGCCAAGAAAAAACATAAAGAAAGCGTAAATCAAACAAAAAAAACGATTTGGAAGACTATTCTCCCGCCAGGAGGACTAGCGACTAGTGACTAGTGATCTGACTTCTTCTTTGGGGGGCGGGGGTTCGCTTGAACAGGACCCAAAAACACACAGATCCTAATCGAAAGCGCCTCTGCTCAGTGCTTGCGTCTCGAATGAATATATAGCCACATACTTTGGTCCTTGAATCTGTTTATGCTCTGCGTGGTTCGTGCGCTCATCAAGACTCGTGGCCCGGCGTACATGAGTCCTAGCAACACCTTTTGGAAGCATAGCCGCAAGCACGGCATGTGCCATACCTGCTAAAGCCAGAAGTGATATCATCTCTCTGAGGCTGGGCCGTGTGCCTGCGCCTTCTGCACTGCATGTCCCAGGCACGATGGGAGCACTATCAGTACTTCTAGTCGCCAGCGACAAATGTGTGCAGCGAACGGCAATCGTTTCTCTGGACAATGCGTGTGGAGACTTTGCCAACACCCAACACCGGATTTATCGCTGATAGCTTCTGGTTCGGGCGTGTGGGGGATTACAAGGGTCTTCTGGCGCGTCTTGGTATGATACTGGCTCTTTCAGTCTTACAGCTCCTATACCAAAGCACAGCAGAGTTCTACC